CTGGGTCCTGGTTCAGTCCTGGTTTAGACCTGGTTTAGACCTGGTGTAGTCCTGTTTTAGTCCTGGTTCAGTCCTAGTTTAGACCTGGTTCAGTCCTGGTTCAGTCCTGGTTTAGACCTGGTCCAGTCCTGGTTCAGTCCTGTTTCTGTCCTGGTTCAGTCCTGGTTTAGTCCTGGTTCAGTCCTGGTTCAGTCCTGTTTTAGTCCTGGTTCAGTCCTGGTTCAGTCCTGTTTCAGTTCTGGTTTAGACCTGGTTTAGTCCTGGTCCAGTCCTGGTTCAGTCCTGTTTCTGTCCTGGTTCAGTCCTGGTTTAGTCCTGTTCAGTCCTAGTTTAGACCTGGTTCAGTCCTGGTTTAGTCCTGTTTCAGTCCTGGTTCAGTCCTGGTTCAGTTCTGGTTTAGACCTGGTTTAGACCTGGTGTAGTCCTGTTTTAGTCCTGGTTCAGTCCTAGTTTAGACCTGGTTCAGTCCTGTTTTAGTCCTGGTTTAGTCCTGGTTCAGTCCTGGTTTAGTCCTGGTTCAGTCCTGGTTCAGTCCTGGTCCAGTCCTGGTTTAGTCCTGGTTTAGACCATAATCCGTTTTTTTTCCATTATTCGTATAAACACAAAATTGAAAACTGAAAAAACAAATCGTTATAATTTTTTTCATTTTTGGTTTTGGAGACAAATAATGGAAGAAAATAGTTTTTTTTTTTTTCTTATTATTTTTGGTTTTATTTTGAAAAACAAAGGCATTTTAAACTGAAATTCCCTCAAAGCAAATCGCAAAACATAAATGTGATAAAAAAAAAAAAAAAATGTCCCAGATATTAAAACTGAATTTATCTCTTCAAATCGGATCTCGTGCGACTCGTGTTTGTGAAGAATCAAATTTTGAGTTATCTGCAGGATCTGTGTGTGCGCCCAGAGTCACACGGCACTTTTAATTAAGATCACACAACGGTCAACGAAACGACGGCGACAGAAAACACAGACCACACCTCAAACTCACATTAAAACTGAAATAAAACACGATTTAACCGGGACAGAGGCAGTTTTCAGACTGTGTGCACTATTTTTGACCAACCTGATCCAAACCAGGACTAAACCAGGACTAAACCAGGTCGAAACTAGGATTAAAATAGGACAATATCAGGACTAAACTAGGACTAGGCTAAGACTACATCAGGTCTAAACCAGGACTAAACTAAGACAACACCAGGTCTACACCAGGTCTAAATCAGGACTAAACCAGGACTAAACTACATCAGGTCTAAACCAGGACTATATCAGTAACCGAATTATAACAAAAAACAGGACTAAACCAGATCTGAACCTGGACTAAACTAAGTCTAAACCAGGACTACATCAGGTCTAAACCAGGACTAAACTAAGACTAAACTAGGACTACATCAGATCTAAACCAGGACTACATCAGAGGTCTAAACCAAGACTAAACCAGGACTAAACCAGGTTTAAACTAGGACTAAACCAGGTCTGAACCAGGACTAAACCAGGACTCTGAACAGGTCTAACCAGGACTGAACCAGGTCTAAACCAGGACTGATCTAAGACTAAACCAGGACTACATCAGGTCTTAAGTTGTGCAAAGTCAAAGTTTTAAAAATAGTCGTACTAATTTAATTATGTCAAGTTGCTGTAACATGTTTTTCTTTTTGAGTAATTTTAACTTGAAGTGGAAGGATCATGTTCTGTGTAGTTCAACCTGTTTTACTGTATTGTACTTTAAATTACTGTATATTACTGTATACTACTGTAGTACATTTGAGTATCACAGTACTTCAGTTTCATCCAAAGTAACAAACAGAAGCGGGAGAAACATGTTCCAGTTTGTTCCTGTAAAATTTATCAACTGTAAAGAGAAAAGTATTTTCTAAAAACATATATTTTTTTGTCTTCTCAAGTCACAGGCCTCAAGTCCGAGTCAAGTCCCGAGTCACTGACCTTCAAGTCTGAGTCGAGTCCCCAAGTCTTAGTCCATTTGATCAAGTCAAGTCCCAAGTGCTAAAAATAATGACTAAAGTCTGACTCAAGTCCAAGTCACGACTCGCACGTCCCACCTCTGCTGTAACATATACACAGAGACACATTATACGTATATTAGATTATCCACACCCTAGGAGGGGGATTTAAACCCAGGGTCCCACGTGAAAGTCAAGTGAAACATTTACTCGTCTAATCAATATACCATATTTTCTGGACTATATAGCACACCGGACTATAAGTCGCACTTTTTGGGGAAATGTATTTTATAAAATGAGAAACCAGGAACCGACATTTCATCTTGAAAGTCAAGTTATAATAATAACAACAGAACAGAGAACAACAGACTGAATAGGCGTCAAAACGTTAATGTCACATATGAACAGTTCTTCAGATAAACTATAACATAAACAACAGAACAGAACAAGTTTAACAAACTCTCCATCTCACTCCAAATCACTAAATCCATTCAATTCTTCTTCCTCGGTGTCACTTCTGAACAACTCGACTCGACCTCCGGAGGTAAACAGAGCAGAATCAGCATCAGTTCCAGTTAGAATTATTTGGGTCTTTCTGAATCCACAGGATGGAATAATTCTGAAACATGGAGGTTTGATGTTCACTTTTTTCAGAGGATCCTTCCCAGTGTGAATTGCACGATGACCTGAAGTCCAACATTCTTGATGCGTGTATTAGGGATGTAACAATATCCAAATCTCACTTTACAATATTTATTACGATATTTTGTGGAGGTGAATATTTGACTTTTTCCTCTTAACCCTATAAAGTCATTTGTTTCATATTTGATACACGACACTTCTGACACCTCTGCCCAACCACATCATCAATATTTTTCTTGAAAAACCTGTTGTATATAATAAAATATTTGTCTGCTGCCCCCTGGTGGACTGTCCACGGTTTTCAGTAAATAACAAACTCAGAAGAGACATTTTTAAAACCGCCGCATCGGTGGGTGTGACTTTCTCTGTTTTTGAACAAACAACTTTGTAAATTTTGAAAAGGTTAGTGAAAAAATAAATATTGTTAGTGATTCTCCCATATGAACATTTATTTTGTTAGATTAATCTATGAAGTCTTCATATTTTTATTTTCATTTTGTAGAAAACTCATGTTAAAATTGTTTGTATCAAATGTGATACAGCAGGTCTTTGTGATTCTGTTCCTCCTCCTCCTCATCATCATCATCATCATCATCATCATCATCATCATCACCTTTATTCCAGACTCATGGTCCATTTTAAAAACAGACAAGGACAGTGACACAAAACAATAAATATTTATGTTTTTAAAAGACGACCACATACTGGACTGATCTTATCTCACTGAATCTCAGATTTGTGAGTCACATTATTATTTCATTGTCTGATTTGTTCAGTCTGCAGATAAAACTGTACAGTAGAATTCTTAGTGCAGCTTGTAGAGTTTTCACTTGTGCAGTAACAAACATTTCAAACATGGCTCCTCAAAAACTCCGTAAAGCGTCACTGTAAACACCTGCAGTCTTTACAAACTGACTTTTTTATAATGAGTCCAGAGGTGAGCTGTACGTCAGTGAGCAAAAAGATTTAAACAATAACAACTTTACATCATTTGTACAAGAACCAAACTTACGCACAAGAGGATTTACCTGAGCACAGAGCATCATCATCATCATCATCATCATCATCATCATCATCATCATCATCATCATCACTATAATGAAATTTATGATGCAATCTGCAGAATTCATGCAATTCAATGCAAATTTAACACCACACATTTTGAAGTATTTCATAACTAAGATGTCACCTTATTATTATTATTGCACAATGGTGGAGTTTTGATCTTTACTTGACTTGTGTATAAATAAAAGGTGCAGTGGTTTATTTGGTGTAACTGTTCTGTCTCTTCAACTTTCACACACAAAATCAATCATAATCTATATTTGACTGATTCAGAGGATATAAGTCAGGCAGGTCCAAACTACGACCCGTGGGCCAAATGTGGCCCTCGGACAAATTTTTTTGACCCTCAGACTTCCAGGTGACTTGGCACAAATGAACTTACATCAATTAAAAATTAACTATTTACTGCAAGTTTTTTGAAATTCTACCTTGATAAAGCGAATATTGAATATTTAGTGTTTGGTTTTAAGGATCTTAGCTTAAGTAGAGGACTTATGGCTCATTCTAACGTGTTAAACATGCACATATTTCAATTATTCACGGTACTGAGCACCAGTCTACGGCTCTAGATGCTTCATCTGTGTTTAGAAATGTGGCCCTTGATGAAAAAAGTTTGGACACTCCTGGTATAAAGGATTCACTCATTTATTTTTCACATTTATTTATAATCATTTCACACACGTGTACGGTGGGAAATGTAAACTACATCTGAGAACAAAGATCGTATCTGTTTTCTCTCCTCCACACGGCAAAATAAAAATCATCCAGTTCAGACATTTAAAAACAGAAAAAGAAATGTTCAGAAAAGTTTCTCTGAGTTCTAAATGCATCAAAAAGAATTTTGCTGGTCCTGAAATAAACATGATTGGATTCTATAAAATGGCCTCGAAGGACCAACGTATCAAATATGTTACATTTTGTATTTCTAAAATGCTCAAAGTTATCATTATTATAAGTAGGGTTTTTTTTTTTTTTTTTTTTTTTTACATTTTGTTCAAAGGTCCAATAATGAGTTAAAATATTTTAAAAAATCTGAATTTTTTTTGTCAATTATTTCATGCGTCAGATTTTATAGGTTAAAATGCCTCGACAAGACTTAATCGAAAGAACTAAGACTTAAAAGTGTTAGAACTGTTATTTCTTTTTGTCGTCTGCACTGAAATGAAGCAAAGGATCATGGTCTATGTAGTTCTCTCTCTTTTTTTTATCTATTTCTGCACCATAACTCAAAGAGACGATGGTCCACGATATTTTTGTGAGAACTTTGACGATACGATATCACGATATTTCGGTTATCGTCACATCCTTAACATTTAACATTTTCATTTCTCTCACCTTTGTATTTTTCCGAGAGAGTCTCCCACTGAGTTCTTCACCTCCTCTTTTCCAGGTTTAAACACCTTCTCCTTAAAACCCGCCAAACCTTCGAACGGCATTTTCGCTCCGAGTCCGTTTCTTCAAACCACGAAATCTTCTGACACGAACTGAAAACTGGAAGATCTCGCTCTACGACAGACTCATCTTCATCCTTCGTTCACCGAGGAGGACTTTGCCACACCGCACGATTAAAAAAAAAAAAAAAAAAGCACACACAGGATCTTCTAACTCCAGCTCCTCATGTCCAACAAAGGAGGTTTGTGGTTTTGTAATCCAGCTCGGAGTCTCGGTGGCTTCTGGATTCTCTTTGCAGGTGGAGGCGTTTGAATGAGAGAGCTCCATCAGATGTTGAGGAGGAGGAGGGAGGGAGGGGGGGGCGGGGCGTCGCGGCGTTTGACCCGCCCCCCCCCATCTCCCGTCCCTCGCCAGCACCTCCCCTTTAAACAGCCCCCGCTTCACCTGATATAGCCCCGTGTCCTCCGCGCTGAAAAATGCATGACGCCGCGAGGAGACGATCACCGGAGCCACGGCAGAAGAGAAAGAAAGACAGAACACAAGTTGGTAATAAGGTGTCGTAATTAGGGGTGTCAAATTATCGCGTTAATTGCGATTAATTAATTACAGTCATATTTAGCGCGTTACGTTTTTTAATCGCGTTAATCTAATTTTTAATCTCTAACTTTAGTGTTTCTGTATGCGAGTTTCTTTATTATAAAACCTGTTTTTATGTGTTGTTGGGACAACAACACACACACACACAAAACACATTTATACATTTTTTTATTTCGGTAATTCCACTCATTGCCGGAAACTCACACAAAACGCGCGCAGTAACAGCGATGTAAACGTCATGTTAACGTTGGCGGCGTCAGTCAATGGACGAGGTGGAAGAG